AGCAACTTTAAAAATTCATAAAAAATCCAAATTTAATTGGAATCAGCTCAAACTTTCTATGCAACTTAAGAACATGTATATGTATCAGGAAAAGTTATAAAAATGGAGAATTCTCTCCTAGTCATTTTTGGCAAAATTTGGCTCGAGACCATGTACTATAGTACAGGGACTTTGGCCCGATTTTTGAGTAACTTTAAAAATTCGTAAAAAAATCCAATTTTGATCGGAATCAGCTCAAACTTTCTACGCAACTTAAAAACATGTATATGTATCAGGAAAAGTTATAAAAACAGAAAATTCTCTCCTAGTCAATTTTGATGAAATTTGGCTCAAGTCCCTGTACTATAGTACAGGGACTTTGGCCCGATTTTTGAGCAACTTTAAAAATTCATAAAAAATTGAAAATTGATCAGAATCAGTTCAAATTTAATATGCAGCATAAAAACATGTATATGTATCAGGAAAAATTATAAAAATGGAGAATTCTCTCCTTGTAATTTTTTTTGCCAAAATTCCCTGTACAGGGTTCTTGGCCGCAAATTAACAATCCACTGACAAAAGCTGCATGAGCACTAAACTCTGGAAGTAAGCACGTTACTTACAAGGAGCTGAAAGCCCTTCTTGAATACAGGCCTCATTGGTGTTACTGTAGAATTGATTTGATGAGATCCTACAGCCTTTGGAAAGGGAGAGATAAGAAATAATACTTTGTAACACAACTCATAATGGATTCATTACTTTAGGAAGCTTAGGAGTAGCTTTATTCTCCTATTAAGAAATAATAAATACATTAACTTCAGCAAAGCATAGCTGGGTTGATCCTATACCTTTGTCTTTTTTGATTTTACGTAAGGCGGAGGAGTACCTGCCATCTTTGAACCAGTCTCAAACTAATTATCATCATTATTATATTGTAGCCCATTTCTTGCTATTTGCATCAATTTACACACTCACCTTTTTAAGGAACATTTGCTTCTGAGGCCCATCAGGCATCTTCTTCACATACTCATAAAGAGAAGCAAGCTCAGCTACAGCGTTATCTCTTCCTTGTTCGTGAAACTCACTCGTACTGCATGTCTTCTTACATGCACTGGAATATATGTCCACTGGTATCGCTGATGTATCCTGTTGAGCGAATGTACAATAATAATAATTACTTATGAGATATTGATGAATGAAAAATAAGCAAAAATCATGGATTAAGCACATTTTATGTGCTCTAATGTAGTGCATTTAAGGTATAATATTAGCTAATGTTAGATTGGTCTTGTAGTTGAGTCTGTAAACTGTATAGTGTATCAATGACTAACTTACTTCACTGATCTCTCTTCTTTTCATGTACTTCTCAGCAACTAGTCTAACCTCAACTGGTATCTATGAGTACAATTAAAATATTAGAGTCTATTTATTTGTAAATGATGGCTTATACTTCAAAAATCTCAACATTGTGCATTATCATGTACTCAAGAAGTGACGTGACTTTAGGTAAGACTTCCCCCATTACATCATCCTGAGAGAATGACATATAGTGTAAGAGAAGAGAAATCAAGAGGAGAAAAACTCAGTAAATACAGAAAAATAAGAAGAGGCATAATATAGCATACCAGTGTCTTATGTAGAAAGAGAGTAGGCCCAAAAACAACAGCCAGATTATGAGGTGTCATAAGACTGGTCTCAGAATGTGACACAATGGAGAGCAAGTGCAACAAATGGGTCAATACGATGTGGTGTGTGGGCGGTAATAGGAGCATCAACAACTGAAGACAAAGCATCCTTTTCTCATCATCCATATCTACATAACAAACACAGTATGTAGACAGATGAATATGGTAACAGACAGTAATAAGGATAATATTATATACTGACTAAAATACAATAGTTATATGTAATTTTTCTTATATACCTGATGCTTGGCGATATGCTTCCAAGTGTTTTCTTAAAAGAAGAGGCTCTGGTAGCTCTTTAAAGTAATGTTTAAGAACCGAAGAGAAATCAGGCAGAGAATAAGAAGGGTTTGATGCTACGGACTCAAAAGGGAGAGATCCCAAATCAGTGATCATCTGCTCAATTCTTGAGTGACTCCCAGACTTACGAAATATTCCCTCTTCGTTGCAGAACATCTCAATGTGAGCCATCAGCTTCACTAGTACATCTTGGCCAGGCACATCAATAGAAGTGCCAAACTGTAGTGTTGGGAATGAAGTTG